TATATATCGGTGTATATATATATAGTCCCATTGATAGTTACTTCAGAGAGTATATATAGATAACATCGGCCAGCCGAAGATTTAGAGTGTGTGTGTGTGTGTGTGTGCTCATTTTATGATTTTTATGTTAAGTTATTTAAATTTCATTTGCATTTTCATTTTGTTTTTATGTTTAGTTCGTAGGGTTCTAAAGGGTTAGCTGCTCAGCTTGTTAGCCTTAGGGTTTGTGTATATCTACGCTTGATATTAACCGCAACTCTGGCCAATTAAGAATAGTTTAGATGATACATACTCATATATTATGTGTGTGTGCTGGTGTGTGTGTGTGTCTGTGGATATTTCAGTTGCTATTGTGTATTAATTGTTGCTGTGCTGTGCGTGTGTATTGGGGCTGTGCAGAGAATCGAATTAATAAGGCCACTTATAATAGTAAATAGAGTCCGAGTATAATGCACACATACACACAAATACGAGTATGCAAGCATATAGCCAAATACATATACATATATATATGCTTGATATACATATATCAATGTCAATCATTCATACAACATTCGTCAACTGCGCCGCTTAACTAGCCTTAACTTAAGTGGCCTTTCTAGGATTGTTATCATAATTTTTCTTTCAGTGTAATTTCTTCTTTTTTTTTTYTTTTTTTTTTTTTTTTGTTTTTGTTGCTTGTGAGTGTGCCTACAAAATTGTATTGTTGCTGTTGCTACATTTCGAATTACAAATATTTAGTTAATTTCTAGCATTGTTTTGGCTGCCTTAACATGGTTTCTCCTGAACATATCTGATCGATCTACTAGACAATATAGCAGCTAATATTCATATATTTTAATTTTAATTGTTTAATTTTAACTTTATTTCTTTTCCATTAACGCTTGGTAGTGCATTTAGCTCTATGAATTGTGTAAACCTGGCGGCGTTTACTAAATTGTGGTTTAAACTAATTAACTACGCTCATTATTGTTATGTTCAGCTCAAGAATACTTATATGCATAACCATGTACATGTGTGTGTCTGTCTGTGTGTGTGTGGGTGTGCGGGTGTATTAAAAGCCAATAGGTCACATGCAGTCTGTGTACCAATCAGTTATATATATATGAACCTATAGTTATATGCTAAAGTATGCATTTCTCCACTTTAAATTTACATTAGCAAAAAAAATTTCTATTTATGAACTGGCTACACGATATATATGATATATTGTTCGATACTCATATATTCATTAATCTCGATTATGGGATTGGCTGTTCATTACACGCTTTCAAAAGTTAACACAACTTGGAGATCGTTTAAAACAAATAAACAAAAATCAATGATAAGAGAAATCAAAAGTTTTTGCCCTATTTACAGAGTCGGCAGCAAAATAAGAAATCAAATGAAATAAAATAGAAATAATAATAATAGTTATTTTAGAGCATAAATTAGGAAATGTAATGCTTATAATTTCATAATTGTATCAAAGGAAAAATTGTCTAATCGGTGTAAAACACAAGGAAATAAATTAGGTGCATATGCTTTAACAACTAAATCAGATTTCGCTTTAACATTCTCTGTGTGTGTGTGTGTGTGTGTGTATTGGGTGTGTGTGTGTGTGTATGTGTGTGTGCCTGTGCAGAGCAGAGCATTTGCAGTTGCTATCTTCTTCTTCTTCATCGTCTACATCTTCGCCTTCGTCTTCGACTTTGTCCTCTTCTTGATGTTGTTGTTGTTGTTGTTGTTGCTTAATGATTGGTAAAGTAAAAGTTGTTGTTGCGTATGTTGCCACGTGTGCGCCAACGAATGCAACTGAGCAGCGCGAGACGTGCATTGCGTATGAGCACCTGGCCGTAGGCACAGCAGGCGCATATGCGGCGCACACGCTCGGCCAGCGTGCGATGTCGCCGACAGCGACGTGGACGCCAACAGGGCATATCTTGACGTCGACGCCGCAGCTGGCGTCACTTGCGGCGCTGGAAGACGCGTCGCAGCGCCTTGCGCCAAAAGATGCGCTGAGATTTTGATTTGCTATAGGGCGCTGACATCGAGGCTGGTGGTGGTGGTGGTGCCGGTGGCAACATCTCACTGATGGCAACGGTTAATCCAATATCCTGCACACCATCCACATCGTCGGTATGCTTCGGTGTCCGTGTTGGCGTTGCTGGCGCTGTTCGCACACTAGACATGGCATGGTGGATCGCATGTGACTGTGGTGTGGGCGGTGCTGAGGTGGTGGCCGAATAGGGACGTGCCTGTGCAAGCGCTGCCATTGCCGATGCCGAGGTGGAAGCAATGGATGAAATGGAGGCCAATGTGGCCACAGATGCGGTTGACTGCACATAATCGGATGATGCAACGTCTGCTGCTGTTGCTGCTGCTCCTGCTCCTACTGCTGTTGCTGCTGCTGCTTCTATTGCTACTRCTACTGCTGCTCCTGCTGGCTGGCTGGCTGGCAGCCAACAACCAGGCTGCATCGTATCTTATCTAAGCCACTCATGTTGCAGACACTCTGCAGCGGTGGCACGCTTGGCCGGATCGAATTCCAGCATCGGCTTTAAAAATGCCGTAAACGCTTCCGCCTCCCGTTTCGACCATTCATATTTCTCCACCAGCACATCCATGAGGCCCCACGGCTTCAAGCCCGTTATGTTCCGCAATTCACCATTGCGATTGAACGTATACGTCGGATACGTGCCCCGGAACACAATATGTCGTGGTATCGGCCCAAGCAGTTCGATTATATGGGCTATATGATCCTCATCGCGCGTATATGTATCGCCCGAATGCGGCTCAAACAGATAATCGCCCGTGGCCAGCTCGAACACCATGCAGGCGGTACTCCAGATGTCCGCCGAGGTGTCATAGCCAGCGCCGAGAATAACTTCCAGCGAGCGATATTGTCGCGTCTGTATGTCCTCGGTGAAATGTCGATCCACCCAGCACGCATTGCCCAAATCAGCAATTTTCACCTGCACATTGCAGGGCTCAAGCGCCGGATCGCGCTTGACTCGTTGCTTGGCCAATGGCGGCGGCGGTGGTGGCGGCAGTAAGGGCTCCGAATATGGCCCCCCGTTGGTTGACGAGGAGCCCTCCATGGAGTTATTTGAGATTTTCGAATTGCTATTCGAGTTTTGCTTCGAATTCGAATTGTTATTATTGACCTGCTGGCGCTGCTGTGGTTGCTGCAGCTCCTGCTTTGGCCGTGACGCCTTCTTATTGCCGCCAGCGGCACCATTTGATTGTCCTTTAAGCGTGCTGGTTGAATGGCTGCTATTGCTGCCGTTCGTATTGGAGCTCTTCAGAGCGACGCTGCTGCTGTCGCCGCTGCTCGTCGAGTTCTCCTGTGGCGGTTTCTGATCCTGTGCCTGAGATTGCTGCTGACTGAATTTATCTGTCGGACGAAATCAAAGATTACATGAATATCAAATTTACACCAATAAACGGAATTTAAGACATACTCTTGTTCTTCCTCTTCCTCTTTTTCTTGGCCTTCTCAGTGCCATCTAGCTCCGGCTTAATTGGCTGCACCACCGGCTCTACATCTTCACATCCTGCGCCGCCATCCTCCCCATCTACATCCTGCTCGTTATCAGAGACGCCTGCATCGCCATTCAGTGCATGAGCCTCTGGCACTGGCTGCTCCAGCTGTTCCGGCTGCTCGTGTTGCTCATCGCCGCCAGCTTGCTCCAAGTAATCGCGCTGCTTCTTGAACAGCTCCATACGTTTCTTGGCCTTCTTCTTGAGCTTCTTCTTCTTGTTCTTGCTCATCTTGCCGGTGATGGGCGGCTCGCGGTACTCCTTGGGCGCACGGCTAACCAACGACGGATACATCTTGGAGTTCATGCAATACAACTGGGTTGCCTCAACGGCGAGGGAACGAACATGCGGCTCATCCACACACAAGAGGACATTCTCCGGCTTAATGTCCGTGTGTATGATCTTGCAGCAGCTGTGCAAATAGTCCAGACCCTCCAGTACCTGGCGTGTAATGCTCTTGACATTCTCCAACGGAATGCCACGATAATTGGACTTGCGTATGAGCTTCAGCAGATTATCGCCCAGCACCTCGAAGACCATGCAAATGTGCGTACCATTCACGCCCGTGATCTTAAAGTCATCGAACATTTGCACCGTCTTGTGGCGACGCGGATTCGTCGGATCCGTCTCACGCACCGCTCTGAGTATCTTGATTTCATCCTTGGCCGTTTCAGCGAAATGCTGCGCCGACTTCACAATCTTAATGGCCACATAGCGTTTCTCTTGCAAATCCCAGCAGAGCCAAACAGTCGAGAAATGGCCCCAGCCCAATTTGCGAATAACATGATAGCGACCTGGAAAAAACAAAACGAAATTCGATTAAACTCGGGAGCTCACGAGTCATATTTCAATGTGCACCAATCAAAAAGATGAAATCACAAATGTTTGCCTTCGATGGCAATAAATCCATGATGCAGCAGACTCGGCGAGCAACTAAACTGGATACTAAATTGAGCTGGCTGACCGAGCTCTTCAGTTGCGAATTTGTCAGCTGCTTTATTCCCATATATTGGCTTTTGTATAGTATAGTATATAGATACAATATAAAGTGTGCTGCTCTCTGTGTGTGCAACTATATATATGTATGTATATAGGCTTGATTAGTTAATAAACATGTAGCATTTTTTTTTTTTTTTTTTTTTTTTTGCATTGTCTGCGGGCTCTTATCATGGGACAGAGGCATGTGCCTTATCGCTGGACAAAAAGGTTAGCGGCATTTTCTTTGATTATAAATTATAAATCCCCCCCAAATATGAACTTTATGCACATCATTTGCTATAACAAAGGCCCCCCTCAAGCCAACAATAGGTGGGCCAGCCTGAACTGGGTGGCTACAACAATAACGACAATATCCAAAAGGTGGCGGCCATGTCGCCAGCAGCAACCGCAGCAAAGCCAGCCAAATTCGTACAGTGCCCCAAACCCATAAACAACCCTTGAGCGAACAAACCTGCCTGCTCTCATCAATGCATGTTTTTATATACATATATATATGTGCATGTGTTAAAGGGGGCGTTCCATATTAACAACCTGTTGGCAACAACAACAGGAACAGCACGAACAACCCAACATAATCATGTTCACAAACAGTTTTTGAGCTCGATTGCCCCCCGTTCCCCCGTACTAAAAACAAAACAGAAGGAAAAACGATTGCGTTTTGGGTCAGATTCTCTATGCAGCACGAAATGGGTTTATGTGAAACACACAAAAAAAAAAAACACACACACAAGCTACAATGTCAACTAAATAAGCAACAAAGTTGTTGGCGAACACGCAACGAAGCTTAAATACTCTAACAAAATCGATATATCAATTAAGTCAATCAACTGTGAACTGTGTGAGAGCTGCAAAACAAAACAGTAAAATGGAAGGGAATGCTGGAATTAGCGAACTAGAACACTGAACTTTGAACACTCTGTGATGTTAGAAACATTGGAATTGGTGAGCATACTGACGTAATGACATAGTACGCATACGTAGTTGCAGTTGAAAAACAAACGTTTTACGTATGTCCAGAAAGAAGACATTAAAAGATAACCTCAAGACCTTACGCTTATTATTCTATAATTATTACTCTATAAATATTTGAGAGTGCTTGCGTACTTATAAACATATTAAAAGGAACGTTAGATGGGTACTCTTTGAACTATTTGTGACGTAAGAAACAGTGGAATTGATACAAACAAAAACATAGATCTACGAAATAGTTTTAAAATAGAAGGAGATTAGCAGTTTGGAGCTAAATATGTAGAAGACTCATAGAGGTTGTAGATGGAGCAGTGGAATATGAAACCAACTCATATCTGTATAATATATAAAAGTAAATTCAAAGCTAACTCATATATAGCTGCTTTTTCTAAACGTTTATATTTCAATTTGGTTAAAAATGGAAACTGAATTATTTCTGACATAAGAAACAGTGGAAGTAGTGAATCAGACACCTACAAAATAGTTAAGATATAAAATATAATCTTTGAATACTTCAAAAATTAAATATCTAAAGGATATGTAGAAATAGAAGCTGGAACTGTGTGGAATGTGGAAAGGAAATGTGATATCTGTTTAAAGATAGAAAAGAAAATTAAATAAAATATGATAACTGGTAGATAGCTTTATCTTTCAATGCCCAGCAATGCCATTATCTCGAAAATTCCAGTCCAATGCTGAACAAAGAAATGTTGGAATTGGTAATCGTACAAATGGAAATGAGTCAATCAACCAACCCAATTAGTTAACTGACCTCGTGAGCAAGGGTATACCAAAAATGGCGTGCGATCTAACTGCTTTGTTTCTTTGTTTTGCTGCTACAGCGGTATTTGTGCGGCAATTTGGTGTGAGGTGCTAACAGGTGACGGGGAATGAATGGGTAAATGCATAGAAATACTTACCCTGAAACAAATCACCAATATTGACTGGATGGTAGCCACCCTTGCAGTAATCCTCCTTCAGTTCCTGTTCCTCATTTTCGCTAACCAATTCCGATTCGTCCGATTCGTTGGATGAGCTGCGCGCTTGCTGTTGATATTGCTGCGACTGCGATTGCGATTGCGAGTGCTGCATATTGTTTTGCGATTTCGATTTAGATTGGGCATCGGGCGTGTTCGCCGAGCCGCCGCTTGATGTGGATGCTGTGGCATTGCTAAAGGATGCCGTAGATTTTGAGTTAATAGCGCCGCTAGCGTTGCCAACATGCAGTTCAAACTTGCTGGCGCCCTCTATGTGGCTATTATTAGCATTTTCTGGTGCTTGAGTTTCGGGCTCTTCATATTGTTGTTGTTCTGGTCGCCCTTGTTGTTGTTGTAGCGGCTGCTGATGATGCTGTTGTTGTGGTTGTTGTTGTTGCTGTTGGTTTTCTTGAACGGGAGCTCCGTTTGCTCCATTTTGCTTGCCTCGCTTCTTGTTGTTCCTATGTCGCTTCTTCTTCGCTTGAATAGCCAAAACACGGCGGTTGACGTCAGCTTTTGAATTCATATTATTTGTTGTTGCTGCTGTTGTTGTATTTCGTATATTTGTTATACGCCTATTATTTATTCATATATTGCTGCTTCTCGTTCGGTCGCTCGCTCGCTCGCCTCCGCTAATTTTCACCAAGTGTAACAGCTGTTGAAGAAAAAACAACAAATAAAAAAATGTGCTCAAATCTCCATAAGGCAATGCAAAACGTTTACGTTTGTATTGTGATAGCTAATGTTGTCGTTGTTTTTGCTGTTGTTGTTGTTGTTACTGCTGCTGCTTCTACTATTTCTGCTGTTCTGGTTGTTGTTGCTGGTGTGCGCACGCCTTTTCCTATGCTGGGGCTTCGTCTACTCGCCTCAGGGCTCCCACTTGTTCCAATTTGTCAATGCAGCAGCTGCTGCTGCCTGTTTACTATAATTGCAATCCCGCAAAGCTCTCAACAATATTCACCAAAGATAATTTCGCAACAACAAAAAAAAACAAAGAAATTTGCTCGCAATTTACTTGGCAGCACGTATTGCCTTTTTATTCGCTAGTAGCAAAAAAATCAAATACAAGTCAAACAAATAGATGGACGAGCGAAATTATGCCAAAGTGAGCGCTGCCAACTTTTTCGTTCTGCATGCACACTGCACACTGTGCACGCGCAATTTAGTGATACTTTTTAAAATATTATACTAAAAATATCTACATTACGCTAACTATGAAAACGATGCCTTAATGAAATTTTAACAACGATACTTGCTGTAAAAATGTGCAAATTTGAAGTATGACTGAGAAGCAAACGAGTTAAGTTGGCAGCACTTGTCGCCTAGTTCTTAGTGTGCTCACTCACACACACATACACGGACGAACGGCTCCTATTGCCTACTCGCTTGCACAGTGCCTGCTGCTGCAGCACACAATTTGATTTTGCATTTCAACTACCTTGCTTGTTTACAAATTAGCATGTCTCTTATGTTATTTGTGTTTGTCAACTTACATGACTTTAAATGTTTTGCATACATGCTAATCCAAAGACATTTTGTGGTGAAACGCATGGAAAAGTATCCAAAACGTTAGCTGCACGCCTATAAATTTGCGAGTGGAAAAATCTACTACCGAAAATACAACACTGTCTATGAACAGTGTTAGTCAATGCTACTAGCTAAACGTCGATCAGCTGTTGTGTTGTTTGCAAATTGTGTAGGTAGCCCAACCTTGCTAAAAGAAATTAGTAAAACAACATATTGTAACAAAAGAAAAATATATGTAACACAGTTCATAAGGGTTTTGACAGAAATTGATGTGACATGTAAAAGGGAATATTAAAATATCGATATTAATAACGATAGATATCTTAGAACTGCATGTTCACTACATTAATACCTATCGAAAATTTGCTAAAATAGTCAACTCGTCCTTTGTTGCGGCTAAACAGCTGATTGCTGCAAGTTATCTAAATTTTCTATGTGCTGTTCAACTCAAGTCTTAAAATTAAATGCGCTCTGAGTTTTTACTACATTAGTGTATTAATTACTGTTTACGCTACTTATGAAAGTTGCTCTGCAATTCCACAACACAAAATGCCACTCTCTCGACCAGTGCTGTGAACTGCATGCATTGTCCCAACAGCTGTACGACGGCGTTGTGCAACACACACGAAACCATTGAAATGGCGCGAAAATAATTTGGCGCGTCGCCGAACATTTGGAGGGAAACTGCATCGTCGTGGCCCAGTTGTAATTTGAGCAGCGGCACTGGCAAGACGTACATGGAAGAAATATAATAAGAAACAAAAAGAAAAAGTGAGATACCCACACACAGAAACAGACGTGCGCCGAGTGAAATTTTCAAGACACAATATACAACAGCCCATAAGAATAACATTTAAATCAAATAAATTCGAAATAAAATGGCCCAGCCATCGGTAGCTGCATTTTTTAGCAATCGCAAACGTGCCGCCGTAGATGATGCGACGACCATTAAGAATAGGGTAAGTGGATGCAGCATGTGATGCAAATGATACAACGTGGTGAAAAGTGCAAAAGATTCAAATGAATCCTAAGGATACTTTCGAAACTCAAATTATAACTGTGCGTGCGTGCGTGTGTGTGTGTGCGTGAGTGCCGCGTCCTGCGGCCATTTTCTATTGTTAGCAAGGAGACCCTTTAACCTGCTTTTCTTTTGTAGCGTCTTGCCGAGCCCGCAGAGACAGCTGCTCCACAGAGCATAGTTCGCTCCAGCTCTCACACAGATCAGGATGTGGATATCGATGCACTCAAAGGTGGCATGCGGACACGCTCCGGCCGCACCGTCAAACTAATTGGCGTACAGCCAGCCACACCAACGCAAGACAGCAAAAAGAAGACACTCAAGGCCGAGTCGAACATCAAGCAACCCAAGCTCGTCCAGTTCATACGCAAGGGTAATCTCTCGCCGCGCAAGCAACCGCCCCAGCAGCCACAGCAGCAGCCCGAGCTTAGCAATGAACAGACGCCCAAACTCAATTTGTCCCTTGTGGCCCAGCAAAATGCCGAGAAGGCGGAGCGTGGCATGCGCACGCCCACCAAACAGATCAACAAAGATGCCTCGCCCGTCAAGCACCTGGAGCTGGCCAAGCGTGGGCTCACCTTCGATGAGGTCAAGACAAAGATCTCGCGCAGTGCCAAGATGCAGGAGCTGAAGGCGGTGCTGGCGCGCAAAGCTCAATTGGAACAGCAACGCAAGGCGCTGGAGGAGCGCAATCGGCGTCTGCGTGAGGCGGGTCCATCGCCGGCCAAGGCGACCAAGAGCCTGCAGCTGAAGGAGTTCGATACCATCGAGCTGGAGGTGTTGACCAGGTGAGTGCTCCATGGCCACTTGACTGCCGCAATAAAAGCCAGTTTGGCCTAGAAACGCAAAAGTAAACAAAAACATATGCAGCACACTTAGTGCCCAAAGAAAAAACCGGGTAACATCATTAACAAAAAAAAAAGAATATATATTTTTAAGGTTCTTTTTTTTCATAATTTTGATACACTTATATATGTATATTCATATATAGCTAGCTATCGAGGTCGCATGTCTGTTGAGCTATTATTCAAGCGTCCAATTGCTGAAATTGCAGTTTCTTTGACCAAGCTGCAGCTCGACTGCTTCGGCTTCATGTTGTTGTTGTTGCTGTTGTTGTTGTTGTTGCAAGCGTGACGTTGTTTGTGATCTATGTGTACTTGAATTTATGCTGCATTTGCTTACACACAGWTATACACACGCATACGCACACATGCACACTCGTACACACACATGTTTACCCTTCGCCAACATAAGTTACAATCTCTTGCCTGACCTTTCCACAACAACAGCAACAACAACAACAGCAATTATCATTCGGGGGTTGTTTATCTCTATGTTTCTTTCTGTTTCTCTGTTCTTCGCTTCTCTCGCCTGCATGGGAATTTGTCGGCTTCGACTCTCCCTTTTTTCAGGTAGCTAACACAAATGTAACGGACTTTCCAACTGTTCTCTAGAGGGTTGCTTCATTATGGCTTCTCTGACTGCATCAGAATTTTTTGTATTACTCGATCAATATTATTTTCTGATAAGACTAACGTCTTTTTTTTTTTGCTGGGTGTATAAGCTCTTTGATCTTAAGAGTTCTATGGGAAAGTTTTTATTGCAACCACCCAAAAAATCTTGCAAGGGCTGTTTGCATATTAAATAGTACAGTTTATATGAATTGAACTAATTGCAAAGGGGAAATCAGGTTCTGTTCAAATTTATACTATCCATATTTTTGTCACTTTTCAAAATTTCATAATAAATATAAGAATGAACAAAAATATTATATTTA